CGTGCCGCGCTGCCACCCCGCAGCGCACGGCGGGCCGCAGGCTTGCTGCTGCGTGCTGCCCGCCTGCCTGCCTCCTACCGGCGCGCCGCGCGCCGGGCGCGCTGCGCCCTGCAGGGGCGCTCCATAGCTGCGCCATCATGCTTGCCTGCCTACCTGCCTGCCCGGCTGCTGTGCAGGTGCTGGCGCACAACGCGGTGCATGCCGCATTTGCGGGCTTCACAGGCGTGACAATGGGCCTGGTCAACACACACGTGAGCTGCGTGCAGCACTGTGTGTGTGGCTGTGTGCTATGTGGCTGTGGCTGTGGGCTGCCTGTCGACGTGGGGAGCGGCGGTGCTGCATGGCAGGCGCGCGTGCGAGTGGTGGGATTGGGACGTGGCGGCGGCGCCGAAGCACGCGTCTGCCCTCTGCCTTGCCGCCAGCTCAGCAGCCAGGGAGGCGCAGGCGGGCTGGCTGGCTGCCCCGCACACGGTCGCCGACGGTGTCGGGACCATTGAGCCTGGTTGTACTGCCATGTACTGCCCTGCAGTACTGCTACCTGCCCATCCGTACCGTCATCCAGGCGCCGCGCCGGGTAGACCCTCGGGGCAAGACCTGGAACAGGTGGGCTGCTTGCTGCTGCTGCCCTGGTGTGGTGGCTGGGGTGCCTGCTGCTGCACTGGTGTTGTGGCTGGGCTGCCTGCGCCTGTCCTGCGCGCCGTCTCGGCTGGCTGCTGCCTGGCTGCACTGCTCGCCCGTGCGGCATCCATCGGGCGCCTGCCGCCGCTGCCTGCGCTGCGCCGCGCTGCTTGCGCCCTGTCACTTTGCAGCAGCGGGCCTCGCCCATCGCATGCTGCGGCTTGCCTGCCGCACCGGCCATGCCACGTGCTGCTGCGTGTGTTCCGACCTTGCGCTCATGTCTGTGCCAGCGGCACCCTCTGTCTGCCTGCCTCCCCTCAACACCGCCCGCCCTCACCCCACTGCTCCCGTGTGTCCCTCCCCCTCCTGCACCCCCTCTCCCCCACCCCCTGACCAACCTCCCGGCCCGGCGCCACAGGTTGCGCGCTAGCATAGGTGAGCTGGCCGTCGAGGCGTGGGGTAGCCCTCACACACGGAGGAGGATGGCAAGCCAGCCTGGCGCCAGCTGCGTGAGGTGGCAGGAGCCTGTTTGTGCGAGTCGCGGGTGGGGTTCCCTTTCGGCTGCCAGTGACCCCTCTCCCGCCTGCCGCCTGCCAACCCCCACTGCAGGCCAGCCCAACTTCTACTGATGCATGCATCGCTGCTGGCCGGCTGTGCGGCCCAGGCAGCCACGACCCTAGCAAGCAAGATGCATCTGTCGTGCCGATGCCCTGACGGCCCCAGACACGTCACCTGCTGGGGGCATGCCCGCCTGCGCCGGGCGCCTGCCGCCTGCGCTGTACTGGGGAAACATATATATGAACGATACAGAACATGACTGTGCGCACATCGCGGCGGCACCGCTGCTTGCGCCGTGTACCATCCTCGCTTTTGTGTGTGCCTATCGTCCGTAATTGTTTTGCACTTGCTATTTTGCCACCCGCTTCTTGCCCACCCGCTGGCCTCCTCCGCCTGCTGGCTCCGCTTTTGCCGAAGCCCTTTGCCGCTCAGCCCACGTGCGACGAACGTTTTGCATGTCTGGTCGTGAAACACAGCAAAGTCAGGGTTGGAATGTCAGTGTATCGAGGAGAGAATGGAATCTGGAGAGGGCAGAAGAATACAGGGAAGCAAGAGAGGTTCAAGAACAGGAGAGGGGTCAAGAACAAGAGGGCAAGTGAGAGCAAGCAAGCGGGCGGTGGCAGGGCGGGGCGGGCGCCACGGCCGCGGCCCCAGCTCACGCCTCCTCCTCCTTCTCCGGCGGCAGGCCGCAGGGCAGCAGCATGTTTTGCATGAAGTTGTACTTGATGCGCCCGATTGACTCGTTCTCGGCGATGGCGTGGTAGGCGGTGAGCGAGTAGTGGCCGACCAGGGAGGCGTAGGTGTCGCGCTTGATGTTCACGTTCCACTCGAAGCGGTTGATGTCTGGGTGCCCCGTGCCCACGTACTTGGCCTGCAGGTGCTCTAGCTGGGCATTGATGTTGAAGCGGTCGGACAGGGATGCCATGGTGGGCTGGCGGAGTGGAACGCTGGTCAGCTGCGGCCACAGGAGAGCGGCTCAGAGTCCCCGAGGTACGGGCGGAGGCGCGGCGGCAGTACATGTTTGCCGCTGCCGCCGCTAGGCTCGCTTGCTGGGGTGGATCTGCAAGTCCAGCCGGCATGCCCACAGTGCAGTGCCCCCTCGGCGATCCCAGATCCATGTGTCCGCATTCAGCAGTTGGAGCAACTTTTAGCGCTAGCGCGGCGTGCCCGACTTCATTGCTTGTGTGGGCTTAAAGTCTGGTAAAGCAAGAACTAGCTTGCAACATAGACTCCCCGCCGAAACGGGACGGGAACCGGGCGAAAGCAGAGAAAGCAATAAAACAGGGGTGGAGCAAGGCGACATGCAACGCAAGCAGCTGACAGGGCACGCATCGAAACGTGTGTATGACTGGCAAAGTGGCATGGCGCATTGGGGAGAAACGCAACGGTACGGGAGCATGGGCTGGCCAAACGGCAGTGCGGAACGCTAGGTCACTAGAAAAGCAGGGAAAGGCGCACTATGTATGCAATGAGGGCAGCCCCGGCTCGGGGCCGTTGAGAAAGCAGTGGGCGGGAGGGGGGAGGCCCCGGTGTGGGCGGGCCCCATCGAGGGGGGATGGGGCGCGCAAGCGGCCAGATGGGGCGGGGCGCGGGCGGCAGTGGAGTCCTGCGGCTGGGTGGGATATAGGGCAATGAGCGTTGAGCAGTGTGCGATGAGCAATGAGCAATGAGCAGTGAGCAGCCCCTCCCTAAACAAAGTGAAGCGCAGGACGGGGTCCGGTGGATGGGAGGCAAGGAAACGCGGGGGGTTGCCACGTGCGCTACCGCCGCCGCCGCAGGCAGCACCCCTGCGGCGGCGGCAGCGGCAGCAAGCCGTGGACCCAAACGCCGTGCCGCCGCCGCCGCAGGCAGCACCCCTGCGACGGCGGCGGCAGCAAGCCGTGGACCGAAACGCCGTGCCGCCGAGTCCCGTGGCTGTGGCCGTGGGCTTCTGGCAGGAAACTACGGCCGCAACTCGGCAGCACGGGGGCGTCGCAGCGTGCCCCCGCCGCCGCCGCGCTGCCCCCCGGGCACGGCGGCGGCGGCAGCAAGCTTGGGCCCAAACGCCGTGCCGCCGAGTCCCGTGGCTGCGACCGTAGACCGTGGGCCGGTTTAAATAAAAACCCTGAACCAATGGATTCCACCCTCTTGATATCGAAGCGAAAAGTGAACAGTTTCCTCTCCGATTTGGCATACCACTTCTCCCGGTGCAACGGCCAGTTCCGGATCCCCATAACGGAATTCCGCATGTTTTCCGACGCAGCAGCCTATTGTATGGCTGCCGTAGAGCCTTACAATTGGGTTTGGCATCAATTAAATGCCGACCGTAATTACACTCGGCGCGCCAGCGGGCGTAATAATGATGACAACATTGACAATGCCTTCAGACATAATCTCATTTACCGACACAAGCGCCTTGTGGGTGTTCACAAATTGATGTTGGAAGCTGGCACCCCACTAGTACAGAAGCATGCCGAATTATTGGATGTGATGCTTGAAACACCTGGACATGCTCTAGATGGGCACGGAGACGTCGACCACCCTAACAGCTGCAAGTATTACCATTCTGCCCACATTATCACAGCTGACGGCAATTATTATCATGTTCCAAACAACCAGCATACGACTCGAGCCCGAAACTTGCTTGCACTGCTTTGAATTGGCACCACATCAAGATTGGAAGATCCCAATGCCGTTAAATGGTGTAAAGTGCTTGCAACTGGGCTGGCGGGGTACATGTACACAGTTAGTCTGACCCAAACGCTTGCCTTTTCCTGAGATGCCCGATTTGGTCGAGAAAGCAAGAGCTGTTGGGGGCTTACACAGAGACTAGCAGACAGAAGCTGAGGGTGGTTGGTCCTGGAGGATGATAGGTGAAGCGATGCGGTGGGGTGCGATGGGAGAGAGCACGGCAAGGAGCAGCAAGGGCGCCGCCCCGCGACGCGCGGGGCGGCAGCCACCCACGTGTACACACAAAGCAAACAAACAGTACCGCATGGGTTGAGACGAGACAAGGGGCATGCCGGCATGCGTAGGGAGCAATAGAAAAACATGGCGCACACGAAAACTGGAGGGAGGGAGGAGCGGGCGGGGCAGGCGTTGCATGGCGGCGCCGCGAGGCGCGGGCGCCGGCCAACCGAGGACGCCACGCCCTGCCCGCAGGAGCGATCCCTGTGTCGCTCAGCCACCCTCAACGAAGGGGTCAGAGGGCGCCAGGCGGGACGCCAGTGTACCGCCCAGCACGTCGCGCGGCCCGCCCCCTCCCGTGGCAGCTGCCGAGGAAGCTGCCAGGAACTGCTGCAGAATGCCCATCGTGTCGCTGAGTATGCTGTTCACCTCTGCAAGGGTAAGGTGGTGGCGGCGGGTTCGACCGAGCGGCAGGGGCACGGTAGCTGGCGGGGTGCGGCCGCAGGAGGCAAACGGAAAGAGGGACAGCAGGCGGGCGGGGAGCAGGGCGGGCGGACCTGACAGCACTTCCTCCATGGTGGGCCGGGAGGACGGCACATACTCCATGCACCGCTCGCCCAGCACCTGCAGGCAGCGCAGCGCAGCAGGCACAGCAGGCACAGCGCAGCGACATGCTGAGCGGCATGCCGAGCAGCATGCCGAGCAGCGAAACTGGGGCATGAGCAGCCCGGCGAGCTGCGTGCGACCGAGGGCTGCCACGCATGCGCCGCTGCCACGCCGCCGCCAGTCGGTCGCACACCCGCCCGCACCTGCGCCCACACCTCCACCCACACCTCAATCCTGTGACAACGCCGCCCACACCACCCACCCACACCTCCCACCCACCCCACCCTCCACCCCCACTCACACCCCTGCCCCCACCCACCTTGAGCCGGTGCGGCGTCTGGGGCGGGAAGGGCAGGCGGGTGTCGGAGGCGACCTTGCGCAGGACCTCTGTGGGCTTGAGCCCCTCCCAGGCGCGCCGCCCCACGTACATCTCCCAGGTGATGACCCCAAAGGCGTACACGTCTGCGGCCTTGGTGAGGATGCCCTCGGTGATGAGCTCGGGGGGCCTGCGGGTGGGGTGGGGTAGGGTGT